TCTTTCTCCCCACCCCTCCCTTCCACTCTTTCTGCAGATAAATGGAAAAATGTCCTTGGTTGAGGATTAAAAAAACATAATAAAAATAAAAAGTGTCACTCTGGCTAGCACCTTCTTGGGTCCTCAATTTGGGTTCATGCTTTTATGGAAATAGGTGCCATCCAACTAGATGGTTGAGAGTGCTCAAAAATATTAGTTATTAATATTTTGTCATATGAGGAAATAGTCTTGGACAGAAAGCATGGTCACTAGCTTTAAAACAGCATATAATCTAGAAAGGGAGGGACTATTGTAGCATGATCTCTGTGGGGTGGGACCACTTTATCTGCCTCTCTGACCAGCCAGATGTGATTCTGCTGCAGTCAGGATGGTGGTCAGGGAGAGCATGGGCATCCTGTTTATATTGAAGCATCAGCAGACTATTTCCCTTGCCTGGGCAGTTCCCTTCCTCCAAGAACCCTCTGATCTCTCAGACTGGATCAGATTGTCCTATTACATGTGCACATTTCAAGCACTCATGCAGGTCATTTAGCTATATTGTGTTATTGGCTGTGGCTTCAGCACGGGAACATGAACCACACCTGCCTGGCTCCTCACAGTATTCCCTATAACTGCTTCTGAGTCTTATAGAAGTAGATTGTCTAATTAAGCACTGTTTTCACCTCCAGAGAGTAGAAATTTTAAAATGTGTGTTTTATAAATTTGTAGCCTTTCCTTAAATTCTAAGCTCCCTGAAACCCTCACCTTAATGGTAGAGTTTCAAAGTGTTTTTGTTGCTGTTGTAGTTTTAAAAAGGAAAACTTTAATTTTAAACTTGGTAAATGCCACTTAAAGACAACTAAATACTAAAAATTTTAATATTAACAGTTAATTACTGTTATCTTGAACTTTAAAGTCACGAGTACCTCATGGTCTGTATGTTCAGCAATTGTACTGGGTACTTACATCATTCTCAATTAAGGTTATATTTATTGGCCTAATTTCAGGTGAATGAAGCACCTTGGGCTTGTGCAAGCCTGCATTAAAAGACTAGAGGGTTATTGTGTCCAGGTCGATCCTAGCAACACTGTGTAACAGTAAACTAATATAATAGTCTTTCATTAAACAGCTGGGAGATATTAGTAACTGTTATTCTAGTAGGATAAAATGTAGCCGTTTAGCCTTTTAGCAATGAAATTTAAAGGATTTTAATTTTCATTTATAGAAAAAGTAGTACACATTTTAAAAAAATGAGTATGTCACAAAGAGTGGTAGGTTATTTTTATGGGTCTTAGTTTCCCGCCATTTAAAAAGACAATTGACAGGCACCAAATAGAAGTTACCCTAAGTTATGTCTAGGGCAATGTACTCTGTGTACTGAGAATAGTACAGTGACTATATTTGCTTTTTCCAATGATGTGTTAATTACACAAGTTCAAATTAGTCACTCTAAATCCATTTATAGTGCTCTTCGGGCATATGCTTTTAGAGTTGTGTGTGTATGTGCAGTGCACATTCATGTTGTTATATGTCTGGGTATACTGCCTACATGCTATTTGAAGTCAGGAAGCTGGTACAGTTTAATCCTTGGAATCTATGTTGTGTACAGAAGGGCCTCTATATCCTCTTTTGTTATTTTCTCTTTGATTTTGTCTTTTCCTCTCATCCCTTGGATGTAAAAAGATTTAGCTTGGGGACAAAATCCAGAAATATTAAAATAAATTACTTTGGCTTTAGGTATTTTATATTGGGAAAGCATCGTCTTATTTTATTACTTTTATTATCCTATCAGCTAGGTTACTGAACCAAAATCTATTTCAGTTCCAGTTTGACTCTTAAAGATTGAGTTAATTATTTGAATGTTTGTATGAACTAGACTTGGAAATAAAAATAAATGTATTGAAGTCGGTGGGGGAAGGATTAAATAAAAAGGCAAGAGGTTAAAGAACCATTTTGAGCACTGGTACAGAAAGGTCAAGGGTGACTACAGGGGACAATTACTTTAGAAAGCCTTAAATTTGAATTTGAGAAATCTTTAGGGAATTCTGAGGCTTCTAACTAAACTTCGATTTTATCCATAAATAAGTTTGTTTTTCTTTCCCATTTGATAAATATTCTGATGTTTTTCTGTTTCATTTGCTTAATGAGATCATGGATAATTATTTTTAATTAAGGAGAGTTTGGTTTATTAGCATTTTAAATGTCATTCACTTGGCTGATATTTAAAACTCAAACTGAGTTTAAGCTTTTTGTTCTTTTGCCCTTCCCGTGTTCTAAATTGTGGGCTTAGAGAGAGTTCTGAAAACTAAGGATTTTAACTATTTCAAAACTAGGGAACTAACAAAAGTTATTATAATTTAGGTTATACAATTGGTACTAAAATTCTTGCTCATTGCGATAGTAAATGATGGGGACCCAGTAAGCTAGAAAGTTTCTCTTCATCTTTCAGGAAGCATGCTATCTTGTTAAGAAGATAACTTAACCCTGGTAACAGATGCTGCCAGCCAGATGTGTTGGAACCAGTGATGGAAGGAGGAAGTACTGAATGAGGAAGATTCCTTCTAACTGGGAGAGTTAGGAATGCTGCATAGAGCAAATGCCCACTTTGTTCTGGCCCTAAGAGATGGGCCAACCCATCATTTAAATCTGTAACCGTAACTGTTAACATCTCAGCTACTATGATACAATGTCAGGCCTACTTCATAAAATTGTGGCCTGATCAATTTGAGAGATTGTCAGCCAGTGTTACAACTTTTCCCTGCCTCATATAGCTTACAACAACTTTTTTAAAGCTTATTAGTAACCAAGATTGGCATCCTCTATAGTCCTAGCAGGAAGGCATGCTGGGCCTTGAGGCCAGACAGAGCTGGGTTCAAATCCCTGCTCTGACACTATGGTCTTGGGCAACTTACTCAGCATGTCTGAGCCTCTTTGCCCATCTGTAAAAAAGGGTGATCATGCCAACTTTGTATAATGGGTTTGAAGATTAGGATCCATAAATGAAAAGTTCATGGTATACCTTTTCTCATGATGCTCATTTAAAGGTAATTGTGTTTCTCTTACCTGTGATATTTTATATAACCATTCTGCAATTTAACAAAGTACCTGTTTCATTATGTTTTAACTATTCAGGAGTAATGGATCTGTAGATGCTATCTGAAAACCTGTACTTAAAATTGGGAGCAATTCCGGGTTTCAGGTATTTGACACTCAGTGATTGCACAGGTGCAAATCTCTCATCTCTGGTTTGTGTACCTACATCAAGTAGTCTTACCTATTTTGAACTAAATTCTAATGGAGATGCATGAATGGGAACTTAAACTCATTGATAAGGTAGCTACCTTGTCAATTCAGGCTGCTGTAACAAATACCATAAACTGGATGGCTTAAACAGACCTTTATTTCTCACAGTTCAGGAGGTTGGGAAGTCCAAGATCAAAGATATTGGCAGATTCAGTGCCAGGTAAGGGCCCTCATCCTGGCTTACAAATGGCCACCTTCTTGCTGTGTCCTCACATGGTGGAGAGAGAGAGAGGTCATTTTTCTTCTCTTTTTAAAAGGGCACTAATTCCATCATGAGGACTCTACCCTCTTGACCTAATTACTCCCCAGAGGCCTCAGGTCAAATACCATTACATTGGAAATTAAGGACTTCAACATATGAATTTGGGGGGGACAGAAACATTCAGTCCATAGCAACAATTAGTAAAAGTTAATTGAAAGTTTGTTGTTGTTGTTTAAACCTGCCAGTCTATTTCCTATGGTTACTAAAACATTTTCCCTTTATATTTCTTAGCTGAAGGGCAGAACAGTTGCTTGGATGTTACCATTTCTGTGGGAGGGATGGGTGGCTGAAATGCCTTCCAGGACGGGGCATGTACACATAAACAAGGGAATAGGCCGGGGCAGATCAGCGTGCCTCCTTAAGGCGAGCAGTCCAGCCCCAGCCCTGCAGGACTGGGCATAGTGCTGGGCTTCTGGGTATGTGTTTCCAAGGCTGGGAATCTGGATTTACATGTGAACTATCAGGTAGTTGATGTATTGTTGCTTACCTTTTTAAAAATCTTTAAAATTTTAATACTGTAAGCCAAACAGAATACATCTGTGTACTGGTCTGCCCTGTGGGGTGTTAGTTTGCCTCTTTTGTCTTGTGCCAAAGGTATTGTCTAGTGTTTGCCTGAGTGATCCATTGTCATACCTTTCACTTACGTGTGGGTAATGTGTGTTTTGTTTCTGTCATGGTGATTCATAATCTTCCGTGTGTATATCAGTAATCATGATTTAAACCATGTGATTTCAGTGAAAACAAAAGTAGGTTCTATTTGTACTCTGTCTAGAAAAGTCTTAGTTTGGTATTGAAATCAAGATTTTTATCAGAATTCCCCCAGGTATTGTTATAAATGCACTAGAGCGCCTTGCATTGTCAACTTGATCTAGTTTCAGAGTTGGGAAGTTGTCTTAACATTATTATTGAAAACCCAAACTAAATGGTTGAAACTCCTAGAATAAGTACTCCATATTGGTATGTTGATGATTGAACTCCAATAGTGGGACTTCCAATGGGATTATTAAATAACGTGCCAGTAAGGAAGGATCATCTACCTTGATCAGAATGCCCAGATAACCACTTTCATAAACTTAAAATAAACCAGATGAGGAAATAAATTTTAAAATGTAACTTCTTGCAACTGTAATTTACAGAACCTTAGCTTTGAAATACTTCTCTCTTGAAGTACAATTTGTCATAATGGGCATCTTGACCTTTCTGTAGGATATTAACTAGAAAAGGTGAAAGAAGGAACCGGGGTCTAAGAGTTCTTGTCCTCAGTGCCACTACTGACTTTTCTCTAGGTTTTCATATGCAAACTAACGTTTATTATGTGCTGTAGTAAAGACATGTGACAGTCTCAGGTTACTGTTGATCCTTCCCAACCTCCACATTTCCCCGCTTTCTTCTCTTAAAGGTCACACTGAGCACCAGTATGGAAGCATGTTCATCTTTTTCTCCTTAATTTCAATAGGTGGAATACATGTTGGTGTCTTTTGATCATGAAAATAAAAAAGTCCAATTGGTCCTGTCTGGAGAAGAAGTTCTTGAAACTCTCCAAGAAAAGGGGGAAAGGACAAACCCAAAGTAAGCTGAAGGCTTGTCTTAGTATTTTTGAAACTGTTAAAACTACTAGAACAGACCTTTTCTCGGATGTAAAGGAGATGGGATAGCATAACAGGTCAGCGCCCAGGCTCTGATTCCCAGTTGCCTGGGTTCAGATCCTGGTTCCTGTACTTAATAACTGGGGAACCTTAGGCAACTCACTTAACTTCTCTGTGCCTCAGTTTCCTCATCTGTAAGGTAGGGGTAATAATATCTACCTTGTAGGGTGTTGATATTTTTAATCCATTAATATATTAAAGCACTTAGAACAGTAAACTCAATATAAAGCCTGTTCACTATTATTTTTAAAAATTGCCATAGTGTTACTGAGATCACAAACTGGTGCCAGATGAAACTTGCAGATGGGTTTTGTTTGGCTGATGGGATGTTTTAAATATCTGTTCGAGTAGACAGGTGAAGGGGGCCTGTACGCTGCAGTTCGTTTTCTCACTGGATTTTGGTGGGCTGCGTTTGAGTGGGGACCTCAGCATACAACTGACAGCACTCGAGGCCTCATCTCCTCCCTGCACAGTGGACTAGCTTGTCTTGGACAGAGAGTGCCCTGTGTGCATTTTTAGTTATTTATAAATATTTTGGACCCAGAACTTTTAACCCTTCATAGTTGAAGAGCTATGAAAAATTAATGGTCTTTGGGAACTGTACAGTTTTGGGCTTCATTTATACTCAGTTTCTAAAATTTCTGAGGCAACTTATAAAAAAAACTTCTAAAAATTGAGTAGACTGCAGCAAAAGAATAAGATGGAGTGCACTTTTTTCTCCTCTTTAGCCACCCCACGCTTTGGAGACCAGAGTATGGGAGTTACATGATTGAAGGGACACCGGGACAGCCGTACGGAGGAACCATGTCCGAGTTCAACACCGTCGAAGACAACATGAGAAAACGCCGGGAGGAGGCGACTTCTGTATTAAAAAAAAATCAGGCTCTTTGCACAATAACTTCATTTCCCAGGTTAGTTCCCACATGAACATGTCCCAGCACACAGTTCAGAGCTTGAGGTTATAAAGAGAGCAAATCATGATGACCGAGCATTTGACCCTACAATTCTCCTAATTTGCAGACAGGTCATTTTTCACAATGTGCCTTTGATAGACTATAATGTTAGAGTTACAGGCAAACATTGCACGCCAGCTCATGGCTGGTGGTGGCCTGGAGCACTTGGGGAGAGCCGTTGTCTGAGCTTGGTGGGCGAGACCAGGAGGGACCACTGTGGCTGGTTGGCAGGGTGGAGGGAGCAGCACATCCTGGTGCCCCGCAGCTGGCCCTGTGAGGAGTAAGGAGTCCCTGAGCAAGTGCTCTTCTCATTCGCTGTAACTGTTGTTCACTCACATGTGTTTGCCTGCCAGCAAAGGGCGATGCTGGTGGCCGATCAGAGGGTCACATTGGAGGGCTGGCATCAGTGCTTCTAGGGCACTATTGGCACGTATTAACTGTAAAGAAAATTTTAGATTTGTCATCAAATCTAGTAATGGTTGAAAGTTCATAAAGTAAACATAAATAGTGAGATTATATGCTTAGCTTACAATGAGGCATATATATGCTACAATTATATGTAGAACCTGTTTGTGAGAAGACAGTTCTACCAAATTATCAATCTGATGGACGTATGGTCGAAATCTGTCAGAATGTGACCAAGTATGCTTACCTCCTCAAAGTTAAAAAAGCTTTGAGGATTGATATCTATGTCCTGAAACAGTTTTCACACCTTCTCCCCCCCCCCATGTCTGTAATGAACACAGACATCCAGAGTCATACCACGCGTCTCAGAAAAACTTGAATGAGATTTTTTGTTTTTAAAATTTCTATCGTCACATCTAAATAGTTGAAACCTTTTTTAAGCAACTTTCAAACATTTAGAAAAACCACTCTTATTTTCTGTGATTCCTTTGTTTCATTTGTGCAGACCACTCCCCTCTCCCTGTCAGAAATAAAAACCCTAGCTGGGTGAGGGTGGACAAGTTTGCTTGGAAGATAACTGGTTTGTCCCTTTGCCCCATGTTTGAAGGAGGAGGTAAAGAAACCACGACTGCCATTCACTTGGATGCATGAGTGCCTGCCCCACACCAGGCCCATGCAGTGACGGGGTGAGATCATGAGTGATAGTGAAGGGGCGTAGAGCAGAGAGTGTGATGTGGTTGTTAACAGGAGAGGAAAGGGAGGGGCTTCCTAGGGAGAGGGAGCTGCTTGAGCACAAATCCTAGGATGAGCTGGGGGAGCTGGAGTCTCTGAGAGAAGAAGGCCGGCCAGTGTGACGAAGGTGCTGAGAATGAAGTGAAATGTGGGGTAAGGCAGGTAGTTGATGGGCCACATTGTGTTAACTAAGAATTTTGGTTTCTGTCTTAAAAGCAGTAGGAGTCCTTGGGACGGTTGGGGTGGGCGGACAGCATCAGGTTTTATTTCTGCAACCCCTCACTTGGGCTGCAGAGTCAGTGTGGCTGTGGGATGGGTACAGGGCTTGCTAGGAGATGAGTAAGGGGCTCTCTCCGGGGAGACGATGGCAGCCTGCGTGGGAGTGGGTGGTGCAGGTGGACAGATCAAGAGATGGCAAAGCCAGCAGACCTGGGGGTGGAGAGGAGATGTCAAGGCTGTAGGTTAAATAATTATTATGAAATTTAGAATAATAAAGGTCAAGAAGTATATTACAGATGTTATTTGACAAGTTTTAGTGAACTGGAAAATTCAATATCTTTTTCTTTAATATTAGGGGGTCTACTTTTCACTTAGCAAATTAAAAAAAATTCTGTTTTGTAACACAAACCAGAATTGTTTTCTCTTACACTTTAAATTCAGGCATGTAAAATGTAAAAAACAAAACTAGCCATATGTTTTATGATAGGGAAGGTATTTTTGGAATTAAAAACGAAACAAGAATAATCTTTAGTTGTAGAAACCTCACCTTACATCCATAGTAAATGATAAGGGAAGTTTTATTTTGGAATCAAGAGTAAAAATAGTACTTGGTTTTTAAGTGTCCCTCTGTAAAGAGGCAAACTAGATAGTGTGGAATCGTAGTCCAAAACAATGGTCATAGGACAATTTAAGTTTAATCAGACGTACAGAACATGAAGAATTCAGTTCCCCAGTCACACTCGCCTCAGTTCAGTGCTGCAAGGCCACCTGTGGCTAGTGACCACATTCTGGGAGTGGACGGTGCAGGTGTTACTAAACATGGCCATCGCCATGGGCTGGGGGCAGGAGGCCGGGGGGATAGGAGGTGCTGATCTAGGAGAAAAGCAGCTGTGGGAGTTTGAGGATCTGAGCTCCGACTCCCCAGATCAACCAGTCCTGGCTGAGAATCCCCAGGCCCAAGTTTGTCTCTCTCCTAAAGGAGTTCTCCCTGGTTTCAGGCTCATGGTAAACAAGGCACAGTGCTGCAGAAGTCCCTAGCAACCCTGGGAACTTTCTAGATAAGATTAGCAAATTCAAATGTTATTCACAGGCAGAAGGGGTCAGCTAACAGGTTTCATTTTATAAAAGGTGGGGTTGAAAATAAGGTGTGGGCTAGTCTTGGCTCTGCACCAGAAGTTTTCTATCACTTTGACAAGAGCCTCTCCCTTGTTTTACTTCCACTAACTTCTCAGTCTGTTCTCCCTCACAGCACACTTACAATGACCTTATAATTCTTAACTGAAGAATGGGTGGTATCCCTGCAAGTATGTGGGATTGGAAAGTTACGCTTAGGGCTGCGTGCAGAGCTTCCTTTCTGTGTCGAACTACAACTCTTTAGGTCAAGTAGATGATAGGGTTGGGTTTCAGACTTCACAGGGAGATCTGGGTGGGTGAGGACACCTATAGAGATGCTACTTAATTTAATTTTGAGGGATTCATAGGGGGTCAAAAGGTAAGCCGAGAGTTAGAGCTAGTAGAAGAGGAAGCCTCAGAAGCTGTGGACTGGGGAACCTATAACCCCTCACAACTGACCTGACCAAGGGAAGGGATTTCTGGGCTGTGGGTCGTTGCTGTTAAAGGAAGAGATGGGTAGGATGTAAGGGGGTGTCCTGTAGACAGTGAGTGACTGGAAATAGAAGTTCGCTGATAAGGTCAGTAAAGGGCTGGAGTCACAAAAGAAGACCTCAGTTAATAAGATGAAGGCAAGGGGTGGTTGTAATGGGACACAATGTTTGTAAAATATCCGTGTGCTTGACCCTCGGAAAAGGGGAATCATAGACAAGGTATTTTAACAGAAGCAACGATGGTGAGACATAATTAACTCTTGGGGGGAAAAAATCCTATCTATTTAGTTCTTTAATTTGTTGTAGATTAGGCTGTCCTGGGTTCACGCTGCCTGAGTTCAAACCCAACCCAGTCGAAGGAGGAGCTTCCAAGTCCCTCTTCTTTCCTGATGAAGCAATAAACAAGCACCCCCGCTTCAGGTGAGTATGGCTCTGTTTAAACGCAGACGCCCCTCACTCAGATCCCTGCCTTCTGAGAGGACGCTGTTCCTGCCCAGGGATCCTTTTTGTGCATTGACTGAATTCTGGCTCCTTCTGTAATTAACCAGAGAAGACAGCAGGCACAGGTATATACACACACAAAAACAACCCCACCCCCACCACCTCTGTTCCGTGCTCAGAAGCCCAAGACTGCTTGATTGTTGCTTCCCGGCACCAGGCTTGACTTGCTCACTTCCAACTCATCTTAAAGTCATTAACTTAGCCACTGTCATCTCCCTCGGTGAACAGATTCTTTTCCATCCCAGTTCTGGAAACACGTGTTTTGGGAAGCTTTCCCTTAGTTATTTCTACCTTTTTCCCCTCTGTAAGTTACTACCAGTATCTGTGATCTACTTATTCCATTCTATATACCTTGATAATAAGGTAAAATGTACATCTACATAACACTCTCTACCTTCTGTTCTATTATCTTCTAGGTCTGTTAGTTTCTAGTTTAATTCTTGGGTTCAAGTTGCTTCGGGGCCCACACCAGTCTGATCTTGGCTTGGTACCTTGAGTCTCACCCATCATCCTGAACCTAGGCACCTGACCTAGAGTTAGGGATGTTGGGACTTCTGAATATTCATTTTAAAAAGAGGCCTGCACACCTGCTATATGCAAAGTCTTTGTGGGGAGACAACAATTGAAAGACTTAGTTCCCAACTTGAAATGTTAGTGTGTGAAGGGGGAAATAGAGATATTCAACTGCAAGAAAAGATAGATTATGACTGTCAAGAAAGGGCAGCACTGCCCTGGCCAGGTGGCATAGTTGGAGAGTCATCCTGTACACCAAAAGGTTGCGGGTTCAATCCCTGGTCAAGGCGCGTATGGGAGGCAACCGATTGATATATCTCTCCCCCTTCCTTTCTCTCTAAAAAAATCAGTGAAAACATATCCTCGGGTGAGGATTAAAAAAAAAATAATGGTAGCACTGAGTACTCCTTGGAGAAAGGAGGGTGCTTTTGACTGAGGGATCCAGCAGGCTTTGTGAGGAGAGAGGGCACTGAGCGGAGTCTCTAGCAGACTGTCCAGCGGGGTCACAATGCAAGCCACCAGTGTTACTTTAAATTTCCTAGTAGCCACATTAGAAAAATAAATGTAGACTTGATTTTATAATATATTTTATTTAACCCAATATATCTAAAATATTATTTCAACTTGTAATCTCAGTATTTTAGAAGTATTAATAAGAATTCTTTTTGTACTAAATCATCAAAACCTGGTGTGTGTTTTACCCTCACAGTGTATTTTTATTAGGACTAGCCACATTTGCCTACTAGCTTCTGGATGAGACATCACCAATCTAGAGGATAAGTGTTAACGCTGCAGTTCGAGGTGGGAGTAATGAGGTGTTGGGGCTCCAGAGACGCCTGGGGAGAGCAAGCGCTAAGTTTGGTTCAAGTCTTGATCGACATGGGAAGTGGTAGGAAAGCAGGGTGAGACCAGACCCTGAGGGCTCCAAACACTTGATCTGGTGAGTTACGAGGAGCTGGGGAAGCAGGGATTGAGCAGGTGAGAGAAGGGCAGTCTGGAGTAAGGGCCCAGGGGATGCGAAGCCTTCATTCCGAGTATCCCTCAGAGTATCTTAAGCCACATAAATTATCTATAGAGTGGCCTCAGAAGTTTGAAGGTATAGGATTTCACTCATTTACTTGTATGTGATCAAATTCTTCTTTTACATAATGGTCTTTGGTGACTGATTTATGACATTTGGTTGTCTGTTTCAGCACCCTAACAAGAAATATCCGACATAGGAGAGGAGAAAAGGTTGTCATCAATGTACCAAGTGAGTCCACAGAGAGGTGGTGGTTGGGAGAGGTCCCTGTTCAATTGTTTTTTAATCCTTGGCTCTCACCCATTCCTTTTTTTTTTTTTTTTTTTTAATATACAGTATTTAAGGATAAGAACACACCATCTCCATTTATAGAAACCTTTCCTGGTGATGACGAGGCGGCAAAAGCTTCGAAGCCAGATCATATCTACATGGATGCCATGGGGTTTGGGATGGGCAACTGCTGTCTTCAGGTACTGTTTCAAATACGCAGGCAGAGTGCCCTCACCCACTTTCTTTATAACTTCTCTTCGTTTGTGTTTTCATTTTAAAAATCACATTTAGTCAGGTTAAATGGTAGCTAGTATTAGCCTTTCTGAAAACCAGTGAATTTAGTAAATCCATTGGAAGCTATCTCTTGACAGAATTTACATAATCTACCATTCACTACAAAGATATGTATTTGTTAATTAACTTAAAATATGAACTATTCCCAGGTCCTTGTCTCTATTCTTTCTATATGCCTAATTTTTGCTGCCATCTAGTGACGGTGTAGCTCTGTTATAAACATTGCTCAGATGTGTTATTTCTGAAAATGAACTCGGATGGATGCATTCCAATGATTTTGTAATCCAAGGAAGGACTGTTTGGACTTTAAATGTCTGTATTCATGCAAGGCCATCTAGTAGTATAAAAAGAACAATACTTAACAGCCCATGTTTGCCTTGTCCCTGGCTAAGGTACACAGGAGGTAGAACAGCCTTTTGGGATCCACTCAGATCACTGGTGCCCCTGGCATTGACTGTGCCCGGGTCTCTCAGGCGCTGCTGGGTGGCATAGCACACAACCCAGCAGGCAGCATGGGGCCTGTGTACAGGGTTTGGTTGCTCTGGTGTTTGAGTAACTTCCTTCACTTCTTTTAGCCACAGTTTTCTCAGCATTTTAAGGAAGAGTTTATATTAAGGCCCCTTCTAGGTCTGACTCCAAACTAATATTTATTTCATTGTTTTTATTAATAGAAATATTTGTTTTAACCTTTAATTTGTTTAAAATCTTCTTAGAACAGGAATTGAAAATAGAAATTTTCAAATTGAAAAAATCAAATGAAAAAGAGTCCTCTTATTATTTTTCAAGGAGATTTTTTTTTCTAGTTCTAATTATTTCAGCTGATTGGAAACAGTGTCCTTGGAGTGGCACAAGGCTCGGCCCCCAAGTGTAGCCCCCTGGGCCTCCAGCCTGAGTGCTGTCCACCAAGAGGCCAAAGCACCAGCATCCTCATCTCAAGCAGTGTTTGCGTAACCATAGCAAATGTTTCAGTAACCACAGCAAGGATAAAACTTTTTCCCGACTTCCATAGGTAGTATAAAATATGTGGCTTCCAAACACACACGGGCCAAGAAAGTTTCCTTACAAATGGCCATACTTTATAACAAAGAGACCTCTTCACTCTTAACTGCATATCTGCTTTCCTATCTTAATTACAAATATTTCCAAAGAGAACTATTAACCTCTAGAACTTACAGTGCACGGCTTTACGATTCTGTTGGTGCTGTTGGAGCACCGCTTGCCTTTTCCTGGTTTAATATTAAACCTGAGTGTTTTGCCAGGGACATCACAGTTGTTCTGTTCCAGAGGGCTGTTCTTTCCTTTGAAATACTGTATTTATACAGATAAATGCGGTCTAGTGGTAGGGAGTTACATTTTTTACTGCTGGCAGATACAGTTTCCCATCCAATTTAAGCTTTGTCATGGGTTTAAGACTGAGTTTCTTTTTCTCACTGGCACGTTGAGACGCCCAGGTTCAGAACGCAAACAGTTGGCACAGATGGGAAGTGTGTGGCAGATGAGATCACTTCCCAAATCACACAGAAATTCCCGCTTTGCATCTCTGTAGTGGAACACTAGGACCTGCTTATTACGGTAAAGCAGAAAAATGGTTAAATAGTAATTTAAGATTAATGGAAAACTTACTTTACCAAAAAAAAATCATTTTAACCACATTTGAATTCTGACTCTTGGGGAGCTTTCGGGAATCATTTAATGAGTTCATAGCAGTAAGTTCATGCCTGTTGTAAGCGGTCTCCCCCCACCCTCACTCCAGGAAATCGCGTGGCTTCAAACTGGGTTCTAGATAAGTTTAGATTAGATATTTAGGTTTCTAGCATCTAGTTTTCATACTTCCTCTTTTTCCCCCTCTCATCAGTTTCCTGGTGACATTGCTTCTCTTTATATACACTAAAGGATACAAGAAGCCAACTGTTCATATATTTATACCTTTTTAAGGTATTAGAACTTTTTTCTTCCCCCACTTAAGCCATTATCCACAGTGATGTTGAATGTGGTTTGGTAATGATGATGTCAGCTCTAGAGTAAGGAAGTTAGTTAATAAGTAGATTTAGAATAACTAAGTCTCTGTGCTGTTGTAACTCAACTGTTGAATTGCAGGCACTAATTTTCTTAAGCATACTGGTCTAGGGTTGACTTTTTCAGGATTTGCCTATGGATCGTCTAATATGTGATAGGCCAGCTAAGAGAAAGCCAGTCAAAAAACTGAAAAGAAAAAATGCTTATCATAGTATCTTTTTAAAAACAAAAGGAATAGACACACACTAAAATACCCAAAAGTGATGAAATAGGACCTAAATAAATGAGAGATGTCTGTTCAAAAGAATTCAGCAAAAAAACACTTGGAACATTTAGGTGCTTGTCATCTCAAATTATTTAAGTTTGGCCTGTGGGGTCACAGTTTTTCAAGTATCTCACTATTTTATAAAAATAAAACTTATTTTTGCCCCTGTGTTATCCTCTTTAGCATCCTCATTCCTTCAAGATACTGTATTTGTTTAATAAATACCTATTAAGTATAAAGTGGGTGTCAGACACTTCTCATTTAGAACAGAGAACTCAAGGTAAATAGATCCTTGCTGTCCTGGAGCTTTTTGAGGGAGGGTCACAGCAGATGAGTGTGTAAATACTTTATTTAACCATCCCTCATTCCCCCACTTCTCATTTAACCTGTACCCATGCACAAACTAATTTGAGTCCCTGCGTCTTTGCAGAAGCTATCCTTCTGGTTATCAGTGAGCTAATTGCCAACGCTCCTCAATCTTTTTTATCTATTTTAACCCTTGATACTTTTATTCATTGATGTCTGTGACACAACTCTTCTCCATGTTGAACTAATTCGTAATGGTTGGTGAATTATTACATTTTAATGAAAACATGGCCTTCGCCTGGCCAGTGTGGCTCAGTAGATTGAGCATCATCCTGTGGACTGGTTTGATTCCCTGTTAGGGCACATGCCCAGGTTGCTGGCTCGATCCTCAGGGGCGTGCAGGAGGCAGCTGATAGATGTTTCTGCCTTTCTCTCTTAAAAAACAAACGAACAAAAAAACAAAACAAAATATAGCCTTAACATAGGAATTGTAGGAAGAAAACCTGTCTGAATGATTGTTTTCTGTAGTTCTCACACTGGCCTGAAATGCCACTCTGATTCAGCAGGTGCACCTGTGACTCTCAGAAAGCAGTTCTCAGCTTTTAAAAAGTACAAAGTTGAGACCTGGCTAAAACTATTGGAACTAACATGTTGGGATTGTAACAATAAACATACTCAAGTGCTTTTTCAAGTATTAAGCATTTGAATAATTTTCTGCAGCAACACTCATTAAAGAACTCTCATTAAAGAACAATGACAGAGGAAATTAGAACAGTTCCCAGTCTGCAGTTAATACAGATGTGCTGATACAACCATGATTTATATCCCTTGTTCCATCCACTGCTCCCAGTGCTCTACCCCAAAGAAGGTAGAACTTTTAGTGTCTTTTTGGTAATTGTTTATGGAGGATTTCTACTAATAGTGTGATCTTTTTCTCTGCCTCTTTTTTTTAATCCTCACCTGAGGGTATTTTTACATTTATCTTCAGATAGAGCAGGAGAGAGAGAGAGAGAGAGAGAGAGAGAGAGAGAGAGAGAGAGAAAGAGAGAAAGAAACATCGATGTGAGAGAGACACATCAATTGGTTGCCAGCCACACAACCCTAACCAAGGTATGTGTCCTTGGCAGGAATCAAACCCGGGACTCTTTGCTTTATGGGCTGATGCTCTACCGCTGAGCCATAATGGCCAGGGCTCTCTGCTTAACTCTTAAATGTGCTACTTACCTATCATGTACAGACTCTCTGGGTGATCTGCCCATCATGTAAGCCTACTCTCCAAATATTTCTCCAGCTCAGATTCTTCTTCTGGGCATCAGCCCTGGGACCAAGCCACTCTAGGCTTCTTTGTCTGTCTGTTCCTTGGCTTCGTAAGCCCATTGTGTCATGGTGCCTCTTCTGTGTGTCCTGGGAACACCTAAGCCACATCCTCACTTTCTCTACCTCACTGGTCACCAGATCCTGCTGCTTTGTTTTGGTATGTTCAACTTTTTCTTAGATGGTGCAGTGCTTGAACTGCTCTGCTGCCTCCAGTCTTGCCCTTTCCAAGCTAGTCTTCATCCTGCCACTCTGAACCCGTCCTTGCACCTCCAAGTCCCCTTTGTACCCAGCTGTACATAACCCCTCAGCCAACTGAAGTGAATGGGAGGCTCTTGAAAGAAACGAGCCAGCAGAAGAAGAAATGCCTTACTGAACTTTATCATTTATTTAGTGTCTTATTTTTCTTTCTTGACTTTTCAAACCTTATTAAACTTAGGCACATGGTTATTATATCAGCTGTGAACATGATTAAAGGCCATTTTCTAGCAAAATTTATCTAGGACAGCTTCTAAATAAAACCCTTGTATTAAATGTTTCATTAATGGAATGACCATTACATGCCAGGCCCTTCTCCAACCTTCTTCTCAGACACTTCATTCCTTAAAGGAAGATGTTCAAGATTCACTGTTGTTAACAACTTGCAATTCTTAAACAGGTAACGTTCCAAGCCTGCAGCATAGCTGAGGCTAGATACCTATATGATCAGTTGGCCACCATCTGCCCAATTGTTGTAAGTAGACATCACATCTTATTTTAAATACTTCTTTGTATAAAATAAAGACTGCATGCGTGAAATTTGCTGAGTGTGCTATTTAAGTCCACTTAAGACTTCATTCAGAAATGAACTAACATAGTTAATATGAAGGTTAGGAGCCAAGGGACTAAGAGTCTAAGCTTAGATGTTTACTATTGCTAGTAAGACATTTATGTGCAAAAATGTCAAGTTCCAGTGTAGTCTGCCATCTCCCCTCTTCCGTCCTTCCTGTCTTCACATTGCAGAGAGGAGGATGTAAGGGGATCAGCTCCAAGGATTTGAGGCACTTAGGTGTAGTTCACTACGAGAAACAGGCGCAGACAGCGCACGAGAGCTCTGTAGGGGTTGTGTAACTGATTCTTCTTGACCAGAGATAACTGCATGGAGTTTTTTCAGCATGTAAGTGACACTTTGTACCTGCAGGTGCTGACTTCTGTTTGTTTTTAGATGGCTTTGAGTGCTGCGTCTCCGTTTTACCGAGGCTATGTGTCAGACATTGATTGTCGCTGGGGAGTGATTTCTGCATCTGTAGATGATAGAACTCGGGAGGAGAGAGGACTGGAGGTGGGAATGATTTTTCCTTACTAGCCTTTTTATATCAAGCAGGTCAAGTGGAGTTATTGTAACTACTTGTGATTTTGAAGTTTCCCTTAAATTTTTATCTTGAGTAGGTGCACATGTGGGAAGAAATTCATGGGTTATAAAACCTGTCTTTGTGGTCTTTGGCTTTATAGTGTTTGTTTTGGGATGAATATGTGGGAAACATGATTTGGTTTGGGTGGGGAATTAATTTTCATCATTTGTTAAAATCTGTATTTGTTTTATCTTCTAAAATTAATAGTGCAGTTTAAAAAAAGATTTGGGGGGAAGTAATTGCTGATGGCTGTTTTTACCAAAAGGCTTTTTGGCGCTTCCGAGTGCTTTGTACATGATGCTTTCTGCCGTGGAAAGTGTACACTGCTGGTAAAGATTTTTTTACCCCATAGACAGGGTTAAGTTTTGCCTAATAAGGTTGGTTGGTGCCTCTTGTTTGCATGTTGAACTGTGACCTTACATTTCTCCAACCAAGAGTGTCCATCAGAACCACCTCTGGAGATGTTTAAAAAATAGACACCCAGGCCCATCCTAGGCCTAACGAGTATCTCTAGTGCTGGAGCCTTGACGTAGGTGTTTTTAAAGGAGCCCTCACAGTAATTCTGGTGTTCTCAGCCAGGACCGCACTATTGGTGCTCTGGTCTTCATGCAGTTGTTCATAAATTGTTGAACATACTTTCTAAAAATAAATGAACTTTAAAGGAGAAATCATTCTGATAGCTTTCTTTTATGTTATAGGATTATCATCATTTTTGCTGTCAACCCTGGCATTTATTTTTCAAGCTTAATAAGAATGAAGGTGATCTGCTTTAAAAAAGCAGAAAAGTTCAATTATATTTACATCATATCAGGAAAAAAGGCTACTTAATTTCTCTCCAGGCTTTTAAAATATAGTTTTCCCTAATACTTGTCAGTGTTAACTTCTTTTGAGGGTCTTATTTTAAAGTTGGACATTTTAATATACTTATTTGGGGCATTAGTTTATCTCCAGATGACTTTATATTGCATTCATTCAAATTTTTTAAATTTTAGCCACTGAAGAACAATAACTATAGGATTAGTAAATCCCGATATGATTCAATAGACAGCTATCTATCTGAGTGTGGCGAGAAATATAATGACATCGACTTGACAATAGATAAAGAAATCTACAAACAGCTGTTGCAGGAAGGTGAGCATCCATGCCTTTTTTTTTCATGATTTGATTGTACGCCTTTAGTTCTTCAAAACTCTTTTAAACTTTTTTGCTGACTCCTGGTCTGGTTTCTGTTTTTAGTGTGAAGTCTCTAACTTTTCTTAGGAGGCTGCTTGTTCCTAAAGTTTCAAGTTCCAAATACTTGTGAGATCTTCTTGACTTTTAGCAAAAGGAACTTACTTTGGAGGTCTGTATCTAGGTCCACACCAGTGCCCCACAGGCATTGTGTAAGTAGCGAACAAAACTCGGACACTGCCCCAGAGCCCATAGGATAAGATCCTGGGCGCCATGAGAGTACTGAACACACCAGCCATTGCTTGAGCTTCTAGATACCCGCTCTTCAACCCTCCTGAGCTGTCCTCTCTTCTTGCGGGATGTAGAGAACAGTGGAGTCTTGGGCTCTGCAGTGAGCCCAGGGTGCCCTCTCTCTGCAGGCATTGACCACCTCCTGGCCCAGCATGTCGCTCACCTCTTTATCAGAGACCCGCTGACGCTGTTCGCAGAGAAGATACACCTGGACGATGCCAATGAGTCTGACCATTTTGAGGTATTTCCTGTTTTAAATGCATTTTACTTCACTACTCAAGATGGAGACAGTTTTCTAAGAAATTAGTGACAGTAGAAATTGCATATGCCTTTCATTACCCAGTGCAGTAAAGAACTAAGACAAATTTTAAATTGTTTTGGAGTACTTTTATTATGATTCTTATTGGTTATGTCTCCAATTCTAAATTTCTTGTTGGGTATTTTCTTGTTTGCATAATGGTGAAAAATTCAAGCGTGGTGCATAAAAATAACTTGATCAGTTATTTCAGTGCTGCTCACTTGTCACCCAACTTTTGTTAAACACTTGGCTGCTGGTTTTCCTAGGGGGTCACACTCCAAGAAAATCTTAAATTGTACCTTTTTGTAATTGAAGAGTATTAAGTATGGACAGTGAACAATCTTCCCTCATGAAATATCAAATCATCTTAATATCTTCTTGGACCTATGGAAAGTTGATTTTATTTTCTGCCTTTTTATTATAGAATATTCAGTCCACAAATTGGCAGACAATGAGATTTAAGCCTCCTCCTCCAAACTCAGATATTGGATGGAGAGTAGAATTCCGACCCATGGAGGTAAGACTCGCATCAGCAGGAACGAACTCACATGCACCTGTCCTCTGGCAGCCTGCCACCCTCTGAGGCTCTTATCAGAGGCTTCTGAAGGCAGTACAGACCCAGTGTGCGCACCTTCTGAGCACGTCCAGAAGCTAAGGAGGGTTGATTTCTGAGAACAGATTGTAGACAGAGGGCTTCCAGATCCAGATGGGGAATTAGGGAATGATGCGATCTGAGGAGGACTTTGTTGGGGAATAAGTTTGTGTGGTGGGTTTATAACTTTTCTGGGCTCCTGCTTGTCTAGGTTCAGTTAACAGACTTTGAGAACTCTGCGTATGTGGTGTTCGTGGTGCTGCTCACCAGGGTGATCCTCTCATACAAACTGGATTTTCTCATTCCACTGTCAAAGGTAAGACCATGTTTCAGTCTAGTGCTGGGTCTGGATATCTGTAGACTACTCTGTTTATTTATAAATCATACTTATTTTAAATCTGACCTCAGAGTTGTTCACCCTTTAGAATAAAATGCTTCTCCCTCCACCCTGTTCTTTTTTTCCTTTTTGATACTACATGGTTGAGACCCCAAAAGAAATTGCTAACAGTAGTGCCTTACTCAGCCCATTAGGATGATGGTTGGAGCGAGTCCTACATACTGATTTCATTCTTCTTCAAATCTGATTTTGGTTATGGTATTAAAATAACTGCTGGAGTACAGGGACAGGCACCTCAGTGGGACCAAACTGGAGAATGTAGATGGCATTGGACTATCATAAAAACAAATTGGAGTTAATCAGCACAATAAAAAAACAGAAAAGGAAACTTCTGGAAGCAGTTTCCTGGCAAGCCCTCAGAACAGTTCCAGGCTGTGAGGCAGCAAATAGAGGCCTTTGGTTCCTGGGCCAGTAGGTGTCTTGGCGCAGAGAGGGTCTGGGAAAGACTGTGAGGCAGAATGAGGGGTGTCTGTTGAGGTTTCAGGGCAGAGAGAGGAGAAGTAGAGCAGCCTTGTCTCCAGAATGGGAGGAGGGAGACGAGCCGCCCAGCCTATCATCGGCTCCCTCCCTCCAGTGGGTTCTCAGCTGCACCTGTCCCACCCACACGCCCTGAAGGAAGTCCCTGCCTGCCCTTCACACCCAGGCCCAAGGGGACCCATAGAACTCTATGGGCCCACGTTGCCCATGTGGGTGTACCTGTTGGGGAGAGCAGCCTATCTAAGGCACAGTGCATGTAAGCTACCAGTCTAAGCCTTTATTTAGAAATACGAGTAGAGAGAAGGGCCTGGCCGGGCCTGCAGAGTATATTATCCTCAGTGGAACAGTTAATTCAGGAAATTGGAAAGAGCTCTTAAAGAAGTTCTGACTGGTGCCCTAGAAGAAATTCTAGAGAAGGGTCACATCCATGAAGCAAGCACTGTGGACCAAAGAGCAACTGGGGAATAGTTGTGAGAAACAGAGAACACGAGAGCCACAGTTTTAAAACGCAGTGTGCGTACCAGTAGAGCAGATGCTGATGAGCAAAGCCAGTGATTTGAGGACTGAACCGAGATCCATCCCAGCAGATGGCAAAGAAACGGAAGCTGGAAAAAGTGAAACATGGGGGATTGCTTTGGGAGGTTCGCTGTTGGTGTAATAATCTAGAAGAAAAGAACGGTCTGTGTAAAAGAGATGCGAGATACGATAATCAAAGAAACAAGGCTATTTTCCCTGTAAGAGTCCATTAAGGCTGAGACAGAAACATTTAAAAAATAACCCAAATCTAGGGATTTCTGAATATCAAAGACCAAAATCCACTGTCTGCAAAGGAGATAAAATTAGGATAACTGCCAAGAGGGGGAGAAAACCAGTTGATATCACTTCTCATCTACAACATTAAATAGTAAGAGGTCGAGAAAAGTCTTCAGCTCCTGAGGGGTGAGGAGTATAACCATCAGTTCTCTTCCAGGTGATTCTATCAAAACTTGAGATTGTTAGGGCTAACAGGAGGCCAGAAGTTTTACTAGTGAAGGGCTAGTGGAGGAGAGGGATGATGGATACTCCTTAATGCTCAGCATTTAGAGAGAATTTCAAAGTACTTGTTAAAAGTAAGAAAAACGACTAATTGTATAGAAATGGGATTTACTACTTTTAATCTGCCAGCTGAAAGGGGGGAGAATAAAGAAACTTCCTAGTGCCATAGAAGTGGGTGTGGGTTAGGGCCCTGGCAGGACAAAATAGCCCAGAGAACATAAAATGGTTAAAAAAAAAACAAATTTGAATGAATTCTCCTATTAAAAAGCTGAAACAAATTATTTTAAATAGCAACATAATAGCTTATGTTGTGTTGTTTGTATATGTCACAGTGGTTCTCAACCTTCCTAATGCCATGACCCTTTAATACAGTTCCTCATGTTGTGGTGACCCCCAACCATAAATTTATTTTTGTTGCTACTTCATAACTGTAATTTTGCTACTGTTATGTTTTAGGCGACCCCTGTGAAAGGGTTGTTCAACCCCCAAAGGGGTCGCAACCCACAGGTTGAGAACCGCTGGTATATGACATACCTAAAATAAGGACAAATGTGGGAAATAGAGAGCTACATGGTGACCTGTTAAAAAGATAGTGGTAATGACAAATTAAGTGTGAGAAAGATAGTATTAAATGAGATAGAGAAAGCAATTTTTTATGCTTTTCCAAGATAATGTTAGACTTGTGATTCTTTTTATACCATAAAGTGTAGCAAACATTTCTCGGAAGCGTAAGAAGCATGCAAAGGCATTGTAGTATATAGCAAGTAAGATATGGCTTTGGTGTGAGCAGGAAGTTCATAAATCACTTGTGCTACTTACTAGCTTTTTATCACGGGCAAGTTACTTACCCTGTCAGTACCTCAGTTTGCATGTGTAGAATGGGAATAAGTGGCCTGCCACGTGGATCGTCATGGAGGTAAGTCACCTCGAGTGTTACTTAGTAACTGACAGGTCACATAATCAAAGAATGAGGAAGGCCACAGGGAAGTTAAATGACATGGAGGCCACATAACCAAGCTTATTAACCATCACAAATCTCATACCACGGGCCATCTTTTTACCATACAGGGTGCGTTCCCACCAACATTCAACAAAAGGATATTGATGTTGAGAAATTTAACCATTGGAAATTTAAAATGTTTTTTAAATGTATGTGCCCTGACCAAGAATTGAACCCACAACTTTCTGGTGCATGGGACGACACTCCAACTAACAGAGCCATACGAGCCAAGGCTAAAATATACTTTTAAAAGAGGATTCTTAATACCAGAAATTAAAATGACTAAGAAAAAAATTATTAGAAATAAAAACATTTATAACCATGGTAGACTTTGTGCCTTCATGCTAGTTCAATGTGACCCTCAAACCTGTCTCTTTATATGTTGAGATTTCCCTAAGATTTCATTATAGCTCTACTTTGAAGAAGTGGTGAATTCACAAATGAAGAGTTTTGGTCTTGTGAATAAGTTGACATGGCCAGGGCCATCTGGTGGGCTCTTATGTTCCTCTGCCCCGAGGGCTAACCTCTTCCAGATCTGATTGCAAAGTGAGGCAGCACAGCCCGGGCGGGGGTGCAGACGGATGACGACGACACTGAACTGGAGTCAGGAGGACTGGGTTCTCTGCCTTTTCTGTGCATCTGTGTTGTGTAAAGGGAACCAGCCACCTGCCCTCCAGACAGATTTCTTTTGCAAGGTTTAGTCACAAAGGTGCTTTGAAGTGCAGGCAGCCTAGTAAGTATAGGTTTTTGTTTGTTTTTCAAGATAAGTTTCCCTGAGAGTTTCCCCACTGCTGTTAAAAAGCACATACCAGCCCTGGCCGGTTTGGCACAGCGGTTGGAGCGTCCACCTGTGGTACAGAGAGACCCGGGTTCGGTTCCCGCTAAGGGCACGTACCTCGGTTGCAGTTTGTCCCCGGCCCTGGTTGGTCGTGCGGGTGGCAGCCACTCGATGTGTCCCTTCATGTCGATGTTTCTCTCTCTCTCTTCCTCTCTCTCCCTCCCGCTCTATCTGAACAAAAAATGGAAAAATGTCCTCGGGTGAGGATAAAAAAAAAAAAAAAAAAGCACATACCAATTTGTGGTTGAGCAACACAGACCCCACGTAAAAGTAAAAAGTCTTTTTCAACCAGAAGGCATGGGCAGGACAGTGGAGTTCTTAAGGGAGGTTGGTCCTGGCCGCGGACGTGAGGAAGGCCCTCCTGTCTGGTCAAGAATGTTCCGACTTAGCCCTGCATATTTTTCTCCCCTAGGTTGATGAGAACATGAAAGTGGCACAGAAACGAGATGCTGTACTACAGGGAATGTTCTACTTCAGGAAAGATATTTGCAAAGGTATGACCTCCTCTTGGATTTCTCAGGTCATGTAGGCTACAATAGGCCACTAAAGCTGCTCTGCCCTGTTGGTAGGTGGCAACGCCATGGTGGATGGCCGGGGGAAGGCCCAGCCCAGCACGGAGCCGGCCGCAGAGGAGTACGCCCTGATGAGCATAGACACCATCATCAATGGGAAGGTAGGGGCCTGTGAGCACACTGCGCTGCCGACACCTACAGGCAGGGAGCTCATGGCACGTCCCGCTTCTTGCAGGAAGGTGTGTTTCCCGGGCTGATCCCGATTCTGAACTCCTACCTTGAAAACATGGAAGTGGATGTGGACACCAGATGTAGTATTCTGAACTACCTAAAGCTGATTAAGAAGAGAGCATCTGGTATGGTATCCTTTGCTTTCTTTTCTTACTTAAAAAAAAAAAAAATCTCATAATGTAGGCACATCAAAATCTTACAATACTCAGTTTCTTAAAGCTGTCTTTTAAAGGATGCATTTATCAGTGCACACCTTTTCACACTTTGACATCTCTGTAATTACATATACCATGTAATCTTTGATAGTCACAGTTTAATTAGCAGTGCTTTTTTTTTATACTGATGCATAAAAAAGTGGTGCATCTTTTAAGTCGATGGCATAGTGGACCTTGTGAAACTATCTGAATTGCCGAGTCGTCACTTAAGTCCAGCTGTGTTCATTGTGCACCATCATGGGCTCTTTTTATAGGACTGGGTGACTCTGTAGGTTAAATAACAACACAGCTAGGATACCTGGGTCTTCAGCCTGCCTGCTTGCAATGAGCATCCCCAAGAACCCCCTTCTCTGTTGGCTTTGAGGTTGCAGGTGCCGTTCCTAGGGGAGTTCTCAGCTGTGAACAGAAGCAACAGTGATGATGGTAACGGCACCTTGAGGCTTCTGTAAACTTTCTGGAGTCCCAAGGAAATACCCCCAAATGGTGTACCTGCCAGTCTCTCTCCCCATTCGCTCTACTTCCTATTGATTCTCTCCACCTCTTTGACCAGAGGTCGCTCTGGCAAACTTGGGACCTACTGTCCTCTGAGCTAGTCTTGTGACACGGTCAGCATATGTGGTCTTCATCCTCTGGCCAAGTGGGAGGACGTGTGCCGTAGTACACATGTTGGCGGTGCCAGTGGTCGCGTGGGTAGCACCTCACAGCAGCACTGCGATGTGTGTGCTGCCGCCTGCGGCCCAAGTTCCTTCCCAAGAGGAAGTCTCACACACTGTGGAAAACATGCTTTCCAGCCCCTGCCACCTGGCTATACCAAAAGGTCAAATCTGGACTGTGTTTATCTTGGCCACTAACTGTCAACTTATTTTTTTAAAAGCACTACTATTAATTTAAAGTGTCTTAAAAAAAAATTTTTTTTTTCAGGAGAACTAATGACAGTCGCCAGATGGATGAGGGAGTTTATCGCAAACCACCCTGACTACAAGCACGACAGTGTAATAACTGATCAAATGAACTACAGCCTTATTTCAAAGTGCAATCAGATTGCAAATGAATTATGCGAGTGCCCGGAGTTACTTGGACCAGCCTTCAGGAAAGTAAAGTACAGCGGAAGCAAAACCGGCTCCTCCAACTAGCCGTCTGCAGAGGGAGGTCACTGCTGTCCCACCGGGGAGCCCTGCAGTCCGCCGGCCGGTGCGGGCGAAGCCGGGCCGTAGGACCGTCCTGTCTCCCGGCCAGTCGGCCAGAGATGGATTTAGAGGCTACGTAGGTAAATCTAGAGTTTATACAGTGAACATGTACATAGTAAAGTATTTTTATGATTAACAATGTATTTTAATAACATATCTCAAGTCATTGGGGACTGGCTTGTACATTTTTCAGTTCTTACTCTGGAGCAACAACTGAGCAGTTTTGTAAATGTGATTTACTAGTAATTGTACTGTATCTGCATTCCAGAGTTCAAAACATTGTACATTTTTTGTTTTGTTTTTTAAAGACTTCACCTGGGAACTGATTCACTGAAATTTATCACTTTATTTTAAAAAAGTTTGTCTTGTTAATTTTCTTTGAGTCATCTCCTTTATTTTGTATATAAAATCAGTGTCGAATCCATTGAAGGGCTTAAGGTGCCAGAAAGCCAAGGTTATCCCTTATCTGTTTCTTTTATAATCGGAATAGCTAACCACTAAGTAAAATCCATTGAACTGATGGCAGTTATGAAAGGTACTTTCCTTCTTTAAATGTGATGACTCAGGCACTAAGTTTGAAGAGAACTCTGTAGGAAAGCAGGGGACTGTTACCCTGAGTTCCCGCGTAGTGGTTATTGGGGGTGGTTTTCTTCCTGTGCATAATATACAGAGTATTGTCAAAAACAGCACCCGCTCTCCTGTTGTGGGCCCTGTCTATTTAAATTTGCAAATGAGGTGCAGTTGCTGAAGCTTCTGTTTTGTTACTTTTTCTAGTTTTCAGTAAGCATATCGACAGACATTCTTCTAAAAGCCATTTGCTCTCGCTTTTACTCTACATGCTGCTTATGACCTTCTCTGTGAAACTCGTCAGTAAATCATGCACTAAGTTTTGTGAATCAGGACCCTACATGTTTAATTGTAAATAATTTAAGTTTCACATAATTGTTAGAGCATTTTGTTGAGGTTTTTTTCCCTCACTTAAAGTCTTACCTGCTTCAGAAATAACTATGTACAGTAGATTATGCAAACCTTAATAGACATCAATATTTAAACTGTAATGCGAATTTTAAGAGAATGTGATAAAGCTGCTTCCACTAAGCCTGTTTATGTAAAAACTAGGGTTTGTGCTATATTTCATACATGCATTTTGGAGAGTTAAAGAATGCCTGTTTTTCATTTGCAGTTTGCTTATAAATCAGGTTGTAAAAAGGCAGATAAACTAAAATGTTCATGGTACAAGGAAATAAAAGAATGGAATTAGCATTCTGAAAACTCTTGATTGCATGAGTTCTGCAATTGAAGGGATGGTATGGGGTTTGCCTTTTTAATTAGCTCACACATTCTGTGAACTTATTTTTCATTGCAATCCTCAGATGTTTTTAGAAAGAAGCATAGTGACAAAAACAGATGCCTCTCTCCCCTGTAGCTGTCAATCCCTGTGAGGGGAGGTTCTTGATGTTGGGCTGAAATGACAGCTGGGCCACTGGAATTTTTTTTGAACTCTCCACACCTGCCTGAGCGGGAGACACTTCAGGCAGCTGTTCTCGTCCCCTGGCTGTGGATCAGCATCCCTCTCACCCCCGAGTTCACGTGAGCATGTTCTTGGGCCAGAGCTCCGACTTCACCTGAATGACCCTAGGGCAGTGCTTGTCAAACTAATCTGTACACAGATTTTTGGGGTCTTATTAAAGGGCACATCCTGGCTCTGGGGTGGCCCCGCGCTTCTGCATTTCTAACAGGCTCTCAGGTGATGCTCCTGGTCCTTGGGCCACAGTGTATAACATGGGCTTAGGTCACTTTCTGTACCCACGTTACAGACACAGCAGCTGTGCATCGCAAAGGGCACGTGATTGTCATTTAGTGGGTTGTATCCACAGTTCTGTTACTGAACACCAGGTAATGGTACTGTGTCGCCAAGACAAGAAGGTGAGTCTCGCCTCCTGAGCTTTACTACCTGCACACAGCCGAACTGTAAACACTGAGAGAAGTAAAAAGGGCTTTCTCCTTGGTGGCCCAGGCTCCCAGCCCCTCACTCAGAATACACCTTAACCCACTCTTAGCCCAAAGTCTCGTTTCCTGCCCGCCCATTTCTCCTGGGTCAAGAAGAGGGCTTCCTGGCCCCGGGATGCCGCTACCGGAAGTTGGTTTCTCACTGAAGCTGTTCGGGAGCCGTTCAGACATGGAGGGAGCTTGCCTGGGCCGCCTCCAGCTAAACTGCCTCCTGACACAAAATTAACCAAGTGACATGTGGGGGCCAGGGTGTGGTGCAGGTGAGGCCACATCCCTGAGGAGCTGAAGGAAGATTTCTGGGGACCTGAGACCTTTCAAAGAGAAAGGTGGAAGGATCCTTGGAGCAGCAGGCAGTGCTGGCTGGGGGGGGGGGGGGGGTGCGGCCCCGGGAAGCGTGCCCGTGATGCCAGGCCTTCCAAGTGCTGGGTTAGAGAAGGGGCCCTTTCAGAACGGTAAATAGGCGGCTTAATTGCAAGGTGTTTAGAGGTGCTGCTACTAAGCTTTTCATTTAGGTTGTCTCCCCTTTTTTTTTTTTTTATCCTCACCCGAGGACATTTTTGCATTTTTTGTTCAGACAGAGCGGGAGGGAGAGAGGAAGAGAGAGAGAGAGAAACATCGATGTGAAGGGACACATCGAGTGGTTGCCACCCGCACGACCAACCAGGGCTGGGGACAAACTGCAACCGAGTTACGTGCCCTTAGCGGGAACCGAACCCGGGTCTCTCCGGACCGCAGGCCGACACTCTAACCGCTGAGCCAAACCGGCCAGGGCAGGTTGTCTCCCCTTTCCCTGGAAATAAGCCACTGAGTTCTACCAGCTGCTCTCCATTATGCTTTTGTGTAAATACTGAACATACATGCCAAGTGACAGAAGAGTGTAAACTGGAGGGGAACTGATGAGGTCTGGACTAGAGGTGAGACCTTGGTGGGTGGCCTTTGCTGGCAAAGAGACACTCTTTAGCCTGTTCGGGTTCTTGGCAGGGAGCTGAAATAGGCTGGGAAACCCCCAAACCCCTCACACTCCTGACGTTCTGTGACATGCAGCGTGACAAAGCTGAGTGTGGCAGATGCAGCAGGAGAGAGCAGCGGTGCCACCAGCTTGGTCCTCATGTCAAACCAACTGCAAAGCTGTGATAGTCGCAATGGAATGATCTGTGCGTCTACTGTTCTGCCAGTGCCAAAGGAACAGAACAGAGCCCAGAAGTGCACCTGTGCGTACGTGGTCAACTTACGACACAGGAGCCAAGAATATATATACAGCCTCTTTACTACATGGTGTTTGGAAAACTAGACCACTCTCTTATACCATTTACAAAAATTAAGTCAGTATGAATTAAAGACGTGAAAATCAAGACCTGAAACCATCAACATTCTAGAAGAAAACAGCTGGTAAGCTCTTTGATATTGGGCTGGTGGTGATTTTCTTTAAACATGACACCAAAAGTAAAAAACAGGTGGGACTACGTTAAACAGAAGTTTCTGCACAGCAAAGGAAACCAACAAAAGGAAACCTACTGAATAGGAGAACATATTTGCAAATCATATCTCGAATAAGGGACTAATATCCCCCAAATAGGAATAACTCCTACAACTCAATAGTAAAACCTCCCAAGCATCCCAGTTTAAAAATGGGCAGCAGGTCTGAACAGACATTTTGCCAAAGATTGGAAAAGATGTTTAACGTCACTAAACATCAGGGAAATGCAAATCAAAAGCACAGTGAGGTGTCACCTCACTTCACACCTGTTAGGATGGGTATTTGGTAAAAGTTGAGAAAAGTGTTGGGTGAGGATGTGGGGGAAAAGGAACCCCTGTGCGCTGTTGGTAGGAATGTAAATTGGTACAGCCACGATGGAAAACTGGAGTTGCCTAAAAAAACTTAAAAATAGAACTACCATACGATCTAACAATTCTAGGTATTTATCTGAAGAAAATGAAAACTGACTTGAAAATCTATCTGCACCTCCATGTTCATTGCAGCATTAATAGCCAAGATAATGATAATGGAATCAACCCAAGTGTCCACTGATGGGTGAATCAATAAAGATGTGGTATATATACATACAGTGGAATATTAGCCATAGAAAAGGAATAAAATCCATTTTAGAATACGTCACGGGTTTGTAACGTAGAGCATGGTGACTGGTTTATCATGTGGTACTGCATATTTGAAAGTTGCTGTGAGATCTTAAAAGTTTTCCACAAGCAAAACAATGTGTGTGTGACTGGCAAATGGACGTTAACTAGACTTGTGATCATGTCACAGTGTGTACAAATATCAAATTATGTTGCACACCTGAAATCCATCATGTTGCATGCACATAAATTATACCTCGATAAAAAAGCCACAGACGAGAGCACAATAGAAAAGGAAGAACTGTTACACATACCATGGGTGTCTCACACAGGTCACACTAAGTAAAGAAGCCAGACCAAAAAAGGATTATGATTCTATTTCTAAGTTCAAGAACAGACAAAACTAAGTGACAATGATCTCAGTCCCACCAGTGGTTACTGCCTATTAGAAAGACCTAAAATAAAACTTGTAGAGTGCTAGACACATTCTGTATCTTCATCTGGGGGATGACTTGTGCATATAAGTATGTTTAAAAGTCCCTGAGCTGTGCAGTCAAGGTGAGTGCATTTTACACATTTTATGGATGTGATTCCTCAAATAGGAAAAAAAAAAATGGGGGTAAAGATTCAGAAGGGAGGAGGGAATAAAAGGAACTTTTCTGAGTAAAAACTAGCTCTCTTCTGTGGTGAATGACTGCATTTTTATACCTTTTGAATACATTGTGCTTTCATTGTCGCTTGTTAATGAAAGCAGTTTAACAGCTAATGTCTCAATCAAAAGTATTGTGTTTTGCCCTGGCCGGTTTGGCTCAGCAGTTAGAGTGTTGGCCCACCGACCAGAGTCGTGGGTTCAATTTTGGGTCAAGGGCATGTACCTCCATTGCAGTTCGTCCCTGGTCCTGGTTGGGGTCATGTGGGAAGCAACCAGTTGATGTGTCCCTCTCACATCGATGTTTCTCTCCCTCCCTCCCACTCTATCTGAAGATAAATATGGAAAATGTCCTCAGGTGAGGATTACAAACAAACAAAAAGTACTATGTCTAAGTTTCCTAGAAAACGTGTCAGGCTGGGTTCGGAGGGGATGCAAGGACTTCTAGCATAAAAGTATTGCACACAGACTTGTTCTAATCCTGGTATGTGTACGTACTAGCTGGTGACTTGAGTGATATAATTTCTTCATCTGCAGAGACATGAGCAGTCTTTGCAGGGATGCTGCGGGGCAAACCACATAGAGTGTTCAGGCGAGATATTTTTACCCTCTACTCTTTCCCCCTAGAGAACCAGGGGACACTATTGTATTTAAGGTGACACAATCTGTATCTACTTTATACCAACATATTTTCTTAAAGGTCTCCTTTGAAATAATTGACCCAAGAATGCAATGGAAAAGTCAGCAGAGAAAAACAACCACGTTATATAGACAAGTTAGAAACTAACATTTCTGGGGAAGTCTGGCTGGTGTGGCTCAAGGGTTGAGCATGGTCCGATGCACCAGAAGGTCCCTGGTTCGATTCCCAGTCAGGGCACATGCCCGGGTTGTGGGCTTAATCCCCAGTAGGGGGCATGCAGGAGGCAGCCGATCAATGTTTCCCTCATCACTGAAGTTTCTATCCCTCCCTCTCCCTTTCTCTCTCTGAAATCAATTAAAAAATATTTTTTAAATAAAATTTCTGGGAGAAAAACAAACATGAGAATGTTATGTTTTTCTGTCCTTAGTTTCACCTCCTAACCACAGATGTGAGTTTCCTAGAACCTTCCCCCCACCCCATAGCCTGAATGGTTTATTCACACTGCCAAAAAGTGGAAATAACCCCAAATGTTCATCGACTGATGGATATACAAATGGTGGTATAGCCATACAGTGGAATATTATTTGGCCCCCAAAAGAGTGAAGTGCTGATACATGCTACAACACGACCCTTTAAAACTTGTGCTAGTGAAAGAGGCCAGGTACCAAAGACCACACACACACACTATGATTCCATTTCTATGAAATATCCAGAATCGGCAAATTTACAGAGATAGAAGATTCATGGTTTCCTAGGGCTGGTGGGGGGTGGGGGGAGTGGATTGGGAGCAAATACTAATGGGAATGGGGTTTCTTTTCGGGTGATGAAAACGTTCTGGACTTAGTGGTGATGGTTGCCCAATTAAATAAGTATACTAAAAACCACT